TGTGAGTATGCCAGCATTGCTGAAGCTTGCAGCGTTGTTGCGGAAAAAAAAAAAAATGGAGCGTTGTTTTTGTTACTGTCCGCTCCAATGCAAAGAAATCCTACCTTGCTTTGGCCTGCAAGCATTTCGGTAAGCATAAACCAGGAAAGAAGGCAGCGACTGAAGACGAGCAACCAAAAGATGCTGCTCCTTGTGATTCTGAAGAAGATGGCTTAAATAAAAAGATGGTTATCAGAGATACCCAAAGGAACGAATGCCAATGCTTTATCAAGCTTGTTGTTTCCCCTTCTGGCGGACTGAGGGTCTCTGGATCATGCGGTCAGCATAATCATCCTATCTCTTCATGCCGTACAATCTACACAATCCATAGAAAGCAATCTCAAGAGGTAATGGATCTCATTATGCGAACTCTTTCGTTACCTACGCCAAACCCGGTAGACACGGTCATGCAAGTGAGTTATTTAAAATATATATTAATGCTCTTTTTGTTAACTTTGTATAAATCCAGGTATTGCGCTTGAATGGCATAGATAACGTCTTGAAGAAAGATATTTACAATATAAAAGATATTTTTTTCAAGAGCGAATCATTCAAAGAAATGCACGCCTTCATATCTAGTCTTCAAGAGAAGAATTACCTTGTACGATTCACCGTAGATTTACAGAATCGTATTTGCTCAATGTTTTTCACTCATGAAGAAGCAATCAAAGAAGCAAGAGTGACACCAGAATCTGTCATAGTGGATGCAACATACAAAACAAACGTTCACAAGCTGACTTTTGTCAACATTGTAGGTACATCAAACGTTCCAAGCATTAACTCTGGTAGAGAAAGCCTTCAAACGCTTCCAATTGCATGTGCGTGGGTGAGTAACGAACTAGAGGCCACGTATACCCGGGTTTTCGAACAGCTAAGGGAGTTTATTTGGCCAAACTACCAGAACGACTATCCTGAAGTATTCGTTACTGATAATGACAAGGCTATTCGCAACGCGATCAAAGCGATGTTTCCTTTTTCAGGTAGCTTGCTCTGCTACATTCATCTTAAACGAAACTTCACCACCAACATTGGACCTTCGCTCACGCCTGAATCCCCTGCCTACAGGACAGTCCTAGAGCTGCAACTGGAGGAAGCATTCCAGAAAATTGTTTTCTGCAAGACTCAAAAAGACATGAATGAAAGCGTTGAAAACTTTAAGAAGTTTTTAAAAAATCTAGATCACTGCGAAGATAAGAGATCAAGTGGTAAAGAATATTTGGAGAGGTTGGTCTTTACATCAAAGCTATTGGTAAACAATAAGGGTAAATAGTAATGCATTTTTTTTATATCAAGCACGTTGAAAGAGCGTGAACATTGAGTTGGCTACTACGTCAACAGGTATGCGCATCTTGGCAATAGATCTAAAAATAGAGTAGAAGGTGCCCATGCAGCAATAAAAATTGCATTAGAAAAAGTTTCTTCCGGTAAGATATCCACCATAACTGCGAAGATAGACTTTTGGTATTCAGCAACGGTACGCAAATATGCAGACCATGATAAATACAGGTCTATTGATAATTTCTTGAAATGAATAGAAGGAGAAACGAAGAAGGCAAGCTCAAGTTGAAATGCTTGAAAAACAAGCAAGCTTGTACGATAAATCAACCGAATATAAGTTTAAACAACTTGAATTTAAAATAACAAGATTCGCGATGGACAGAATCAGAAAGGAAGTTGAATATTGCAGAACAAAGTCATCTGGCCAGCAAAGAAACACCTGCGACTCTTGCGCTTGCATTGTGAATTTCAAAGCTCCATGCTTCCATATCTTGTCCCAATATAATATTATATCATTAAGCGAAGTCAGTCGCCGATGGTGGATTAACCACGGTAATAAACTTAGATACTATAAAATTAACGCTATTAACTCTGGTTTTAGAAGATGATGCTGAAGTTGAAGAAAAAAATTAGCAGACGAAGAGTGTATTGAAATAGTACAAGAGGATGATGAAAAGATAAATGAAAAAGAAGATGAAGATATCGATAAAGAAGAAAACGAAGAAAAAGAAAAAGGAGATGAATTTGAAGAAATTGAAGATACACCCGAAGAAACAGACACTGCTGCATGCAAAGAAGAAAATGATGTTGCACAGCCTGTAGATGATCAAGCAGAAAACGGTAAGGCGTTCTACATTCTCATTTTTTAATGGACATGTTACGGATTTTGGTTGTTTACTAATGCGTAATGTTTTTCAGCACAACTAATTCTAGACTTGCATGTATACATTAATGATGCTTTGACAGACATACAAACTATCACAATGACCATGTTTTGTCAACAGCATCTTATTGATGCTCTTAAAGAGTTGACTGACCTAAAGGAAAAACTACTTGGACCAAAGTACAAGCTAGAAAACATATTACCGCCACCTACAAATGCAAATAATAAAGGAAGAAAGCCAAACACGAAAAAATTAGTAATCGCTTTGGAGATATATGAAGAAGATAAAAAGAAAAGAGAGGCAAAAAGAATGAAAATAGAAAAAGAAGAGCAGCGAAGAAAAGAAATTAGAAAAATTAGAATATAAAAAATCACAGCTTGAACTTGAAAAAAAGATATTGAAAGAAAAACAACTCATAATGTAAGTAATACTTTTCAGGTAGTCTCACAGAATATTCATTTTTTCACTTTTGGTAGTAAATTAAAAACAGTCGAAAAAAAAAAAAAAAAAAAAAAAAAAAAAAAAAAAAAAACAAATCGCAGATGTAAGTTAGAAGACGTTAATCCAAAGCCATTGCTTGCTAATATATTATGCTACAAAGGCCAATAGTGCATGCATAGAAGCAAGTGCTTTTAGCATGAACAGCAATAAGATGAGGTAGATCTCATATCTATTTAACAGTAGATATTAAAGGAAAACTTATCGATAATTTCTTACACTTTTAGCATCACCTATGAAAATAATGAACATGCTGGTATTGTAAGTAGCTTTTGCCAAGACTTTGGAGCTGGCTTTGAGAAGGTGGCTAAAGTATATAGTCTTGACGCAGATGGGAACTGTGGATACAGAGCCATTAGTATGGCAGTTTATGGTAGTCAAAATAGTTGGAAGGAGGTAAAGGAGCAGATGCTCAAAACATATCAGAAGTACAAGGACGCACTATATGCAAATCGAGTGGAGGATAATGACATCTTTGAAAAAAGCTTATCTTGTAACCTATCGCCATGCCCAATCCAGTATTGGCTCAACGCCACTGACTGTCCGCAGATCGCTGCTGACGCTTTTATTCGCGGTATTGCCGTCTTTTCAAAGACCTCATTTAATGGCAAACCATTTAAAACAAGTAGCCTTTTTGCACCTCTTGCGTCTGAGCTAACTAACTACACTGTCATTAATATTTTACTGGATCACAATCATTTCTATTTGATAGAAACTACTCGAACAAAGACTGGAAGGCCGTAAAATTCCCCATCCCAACTCTAAACCCATATCACAAAGCATTTGTCAAAAGAGATCCAACTCTCTGCGCTAGAAATTATTCCATCGCTTTTTAATTTATAACTGTAACAATATATTAACAATTTTACAATAAATAGACGCATTTGATGTTCTTATAGCTTACTCCTATGAGCCATTATTTGCCTAGTTAGGCTTAATATAAAATAGTAAATGTATAGCTGTTTGATAACGGTTTTATACCACCCTATTTCGCAAAAAAAAAAAAAAAAAAATGGGTTTTTGAAGCGTCTGAATACACATAACGCTTTCTTAATTGATTTAACATGGTATTAATGGTTTACGCTTGCAAGAACCATCGGGTTTGTGATGATTTTTATACTAATGGAATCAGCATAAAAAGCTACAGGATCATGCAGCAGAAATAGAAAGCACGCATTCCTCGCGCACTACTCCAAGAGAATGCAACGTCACTATTTTGAAATCTGGGTATGCGCCAAGAATCTCCCAAAAAAATTGCTGTTTTAAAGATCTGTTTTTTATCACAATTATAGTTATTGCTAATACGATGAATCAATTGAAGAATGAAAAACATATCAGTAGACTCGAAGCTTTGCAAAAATTAACAGAGGAAATTAAAACAAAGTATCCTTCATCATGTTCTGGCTTTAAAAGAAGTTGGCTCTCAAGAATCACTATAACTATTAGGGAAAAGGTTTTTAAAAAACCTAACTGGTTACGAATTTTTGAAGACGTAATAAAAAAACGGAAGGTTACTAATGCTACGAGTGCTACCTCGGGGCGTTAATTGTGATTTCATTTTACAACTTCACACTACCATAGTCACTGCCTAACCTAAGTCTGTCCAGTGAGATGTCCTTTAGCGTAAAATGCACATGCTTGATATTGGTATTATGCTGATAGAACTGGCAACATAAAATTAGAATGAACACAGTAACAACAGCTTTTCTTTATTATCTCTTTCTTGAAAAAAAAAAAAATTCTGATTCAACATCAAAGAGTATGGAAAGATACCTGTTTTTGACTAAGTCTAGTGTGGTGCCACGTAATGAAATGTTTTGTTGACGACATCACAGGTAGTGGCTAAAAAAAGGAGGGAGATTCTTGGCGCACTCCCTCGCGCACTCCCAGATTTCAAAATAGTGACGTTGCATTTTTTGTTGAACTCTAATTCTCGAAATTAGTGACGTTGCATTCTCTTGAGTAGTGCGCGAGGAGTGCGCGTGTTTGGATAGTTCTTGGCGCACAACCATTGTTCAAAATATGACATCCCGATTTTTGTGCGGGGAATGAACTTACAAAATAGTGACGTCGCAAATCGTTGCAGTAGTGCGCGAGCTGTGCAAGTGGTAGCTTGTTAACGCAGATTAACTTGTTCCTGATTCGGAACTTCAAATCGTAACGTCATGCTTTCTTGTTGTATATCCTTCAAACAACAAGACTACAAGAAATAGTCACTTACTGATACACAAAGAGGCTGAATGTCAATTTATTATTTTTAATAAAGTAAAATACAGTCGTCCTTGTATCTTTTTTTCACTTCGTTTTTTTAAAAAAGCTTTACTACGTGCAACAACAGCATTAACAAAGGCCTTATGAACTTGGTTCAAGATAACGCACAAGAAATGGAAGCTGAATATCGCTAAATGTTCGAAATCGGTAGTCAGTTCGCCAGTATTGCTGAAATTCGCAATGTTGCTACCGATTTTGGAAAAAAAAAAATGGAACATTGCTTTGGTTACTGTCCGTTCTGTTCCTACAAAATCGTACCTTGCCCTTGCCTGCAAGCATCATGGAGAGTACAAGCTAGGAAAAAAATCTTTCAAGGCAAGGAACTTGAGCTCATTAATGAAGGAGAAAACTAGAGTGAGGATGCTGGCAAGAAACTTGTAAAAAAAGACACCCAGAAAAATGGTTGTTCTTACTTCATCAAGCTCATTGATTCCCCTTTGGGCGGTTTAAATGTTTCTGATATGTGTAGCAAACACAATCATCCTATCCCATCTTGTCGGATTACATACTCTGCTCATCGAAAGTAATCAGCAGAAATAATGAACCTTATCATACAAGCGCTTTTATTAGCCACGGCTAATCCAGTTGAAACTGTAATGCAAGTAAGTTTCTTTTATTAATAGCAAGCTTTACACATATCGCTACGCAGAATGCCAGCACTTAACAATTTAAAAAGAAATAGGTTTTGCAAATTAATGAAATTACGGATGTACTTAAAAGGGATATATACAATATCAAGAACTTTTTTTTTTTTTCAAAAACGAAACATCGAAGGAGATGTATGCCTTTATCTTTCACCTTCATGAAAAAAGTTACTTCGTCAAGTTCACTGTGGACTGAGAAAACCGAATTTGTTCTGTGTTCTTCACTCACGAAGAGGCTATCAAGGAAGCAAGAGTCATGCTCGAGTCAATTGTTATCGCTGTCACGTATAAAACCGATACGCACGTCAAATGTGACAAGCACTTTGTCCGACAGAGGGAGATTGCAAACGTTTTCTGTTGCTAGTGCTTGGGTGAACAATGAGTTGGAAACAGCATACACCTGGGTATTTCAACTATTGAAAAAATCCGTTTGGCCCACAACAGAGCATGGATGCCCAGAGGTTTTTGTTACGGATAACAACAAATCCGTACACAACGCCATCAAGTCTCTGTCTTCACTGGCGCTTTGGTTGATTACCTGATGGTAAGCCAAACCTTGCCCCAGACCTCTTAATCAACTGCTCACGAAGGCCCATTCCGTTCACTGTCTAAATATGCATGCTCTCCTCCAAATGCCGTGCACTGTTACGGACCCTCTATCTTTTTTTCTAAGCATCCTACCGATTTACGAATTGCGTTCCTTCTGTCGTTGGCCATTTATATGCACCATCCTCTATGAACTTGATCACCTATGCCACGGACAAGATATGCCAATTCCACCACCTGATTTAGGGCGAAAATTCCTCCATTGACTTTCTCCTCCTCTTCTCTTCTCTCAACATCTGTCGATCTAATTCTTTTTCATTCTCTTCTTACTCGTTTTCCTTTGCTTCTTTTCTTCCTTTTTTCCCCTTTGATCTCAAAAGAGTTTTTAGAATCTATGTACTTTTTTAATCTGACCCAGGTGGGACGAAATTATATTGTTTCAATGCACCCAAGTGACCTTTATTTTCTTTAATAAAATATTCGTTTAATCGTATTTCTGTACAAAATGACCACATCTTTTGTTTAGTAAATAAGGTATTGATTTCTGATATGGAAACCAAGGTCAAATAGTTTATTTAGTACTGTGTGTATACACCCTTTTCTTGAATAGTATCTGTTTTGTATTAAAAAGCTGAAACAATCTTAAGCATACGACTAATATTCAATATCCCATGTTTTTCAGTTTTTCCCCGTAATTCCATTATGTCGCGGAAAAACGTATGAAAAAAAGTGTGCCCACCTCCAAGTTTCCTAATTAGGCATGTCATACCCCCAAGCTTTTATGTTTTAAAAAAGTTCAGATTTTTTTCCAGCTCTTCCTTTTTTTTTTTCACTTATTCTTTTTTTATTATCATGTCTCAATATAAACTTAGCGAAGCTCAAACTGCAGCTTTGAATACTATTGTTAGTCGCTTTCATGTCTCTGGTGAAACCTTGAAAAAGATTACTGATCAATTTGTTCAAGAAATGGAAAAGGGTTTGGATCATGAGGGAGCTACGAGTAAGTTAGTTTATGATTGATAAGAAACAGACATCTAACTATAAATAGTCGCCATGATTCCTTCTTTTGTCTCTGGTCGTTGTACTGGTGAAGAAAAGGGTCACTTCATGGCTCTTGACTTGGGTGGAACTAATTTACGTGTCTGTCATGTCACTCTGCTGGGTAACGGTGAATATACTATTCGTCAGCAGAAATACATTGTATCAGAAGAACTCAAGATTGGTCCCATGCGTATTCTCTGTGACTTTATCGCTGACTGTGTCGACAGTTTCTTGACCGAACATGGTACCGAAGACAGTCAAGAAATCATCCAACTTGGCTATACTTTCTCTTTCCCTGTTCTCCAGACAAGCATTAACCGTGGTGTGCTTAAGCAATGGACCAAGGGTTTTGCATGCTCTGGTGCTGTCGGCCGTGACGTTGCTATCCTCTTGCAAGACTCATTCCGTCGCAAAAACCTGAACGTGAACATTGCTGCTGTAAGTATACATGTAGTAGTACATCAGAAAGAGTGAACTAACATGTGATTAGATTGTTAATGACACAGTGGGTACTCTCATGGCTCATGCGTACAAACATCCAGAAACAACCATGGGCGTCATCCTCGGTACTGGTTTCAATGCTGCTTATTACCAAGATATGTCAACGGTCCCAAAGTGGAAGGGAGATAAGAATCAGGAAATGGTCATTAATATGGAATGTGGTGCATTTGATTGTGAAAGAAGAGTGCTACCATTGACTATCTATGATAACAAGATGGATCGTGAATCACTGAACGTTCATCAACAGCTTCATGAAAAGATGGTTGCCGGTATGTATCTCGGTGAGATCACGCGTAATGCTCTGCTTGACTTGGTTGATCAGCAGTTATTATTTAATGGAAACTCTTCCAAAGAACTTAACAAGAACTGGAGCTTTGAGACTGCTTACATGTCTACAATCGAGGTAGATGAAACACCCGAATTGACAGATACAGCACACATCCTCGAGTCCGTTCTCAATATCCCTAGCACAACATTAGCTGATCGTCAGATTGTGAAAAAGGTCTGTAACGCAGTTGGTACACGAGCAGCCCGTATCGCCTGCTGTCACATTGCTGGTGTCATGACAAAGACGGGTAAAGTGGGGGAAGAATGCGTGATTGCCATTGACGGATCATTATTCGAATTTTACCCCAACTTTGAAAAGAACATGGGTGATGCATTGGCTGAAGTCCTTGGTGAGCAGGCTCGTTCCAAGGTTAGATTTGAACTTGCCAGAGATGGCTCAGGTCTTGGTGCAGCTATTATTGCAATGATTGCTTCAAAACAGTAAATAAATAGAAAAAAGAATGACTCTTGCATAGCCCAATAAGAAGTATTCATTTGTCCCGTTTTTACCAGTGTTTTCCGTGTAACTCTGATAATATGTTTGCCACCCAGGGGTTATTAATATAATACGCGTCATTCTCAGAAAGGTTCTTTCTCTTGTATGTTCTGTGGTACGTAAGAAAGCTAGATGTATCTTTGAATATTGTAGAAAACAAAGCGATATTTACAGTCGAAGGAGAACTAACACTACCTGTAACACAAGAGATACTTATGTAAGCAATAGCTGTCTTTTTTCTACTACCTTGAGCCAAATAAGCCCTGTTATGGTATTGGAATAGTAACCCTATAAAAAAGAAGTTTATATTCATACTTGAACAGGCGACCCAAGCCAAGCCGTATACAACGATTATGATTAAAGTGATTTTTTAGCGCAACATTCTATATTTCTACTGTTTTTTTTTTCCTGTGTCAGAGAATAAGTAACGTTATGTCATATGCTAATAATTGCATATTACTGCCATGTAAAACAACCATATGTATTTAAAAAAGAGTCAAGAAACGCATATGTGATGGCCTTTTATAAAAGCCTTTCCTCGGATGAATTCCTTTCATTTAATTATATTTATTACAAAGCAATTCTACCAAATGAAAGACGGAATTATTTTTTAATTAGACTCAATCTTGCTGTAAAACAAACAAAAAGCAGAAAAATACAAAACTGCAAATAGCCTATTTTGGTTGTACAAACGGGTAAAGAATGAATAGAAAGATCATAACTATGCTAACGTATCCATAGTTTCTAAGCATTATATCATTATCTTCGCTACACATTAAAAAAATGCAGAATAAAAGAAAGAGAGAGAAGCAATATTCAAAATGAGTCATTGACCAATTTTGAGCATCCGACAGTAAAGAAGATAACTTGGTTTCTCTTTTTTTTTTATATATTTTTTTTTTT